AAAGATCCCTGTGCAGGTTTTCATGTGGACATTACTTTCAACTGCTTTGAGTACATACCGAGGAGCACAAATGCTGGATCATATGCTAAAAGTATGTTTAGTTTTGTAAGAGACCACCAAACTGTCTTCCAAAGTGCATGTACCATTTTGTTTTCCCACCAACAATGTATGAGTTCCTGTCGCTCTGCATTTGGTGTTAGTATTCAGGATCTAATAGGTATGAAATAGTGTATCATTTTAATTTGCATTTGATAACATGATGTAGAGCATAATTTCATGTTTATTTGCCATCTGTATATCTTCTTTGGTGAGGTGTCTGTTAAGGTCTTTGGCCCATTTTTTAATTGGTGTATTTTCTTATTGTTGAGTGTTAGTCCGTTGTGCATTTTAGATAACAGTCCTTTATCAGGTGCGTCTTGCGCAAATATTTTTTCCTAGTCTGTGGCTTGTCTTCTAATTCTCTTGATTCTGTCTTTTGCAGAGCAGTTTTTAATTGTAATGAAGTTCAGCTTATCAGTTATTTCTTTCATGATCACATGTTTGATGTTGTATGTAAAAAAGGCATCACCATGGCCAAGATCATTGAGGTTTTCTCCATTGTTATCTTCTAGGAATTTTATAGTTGTGTGTTTTACATTTAGGTCTATGATCCATTTTGAGTTAATTTTTGTGAAGGGTGTAAGGCCTTTTGTGAAGGTGTGGATGTCCATTGTTCAAGCATCGTTTCCCTGAAAAGACGATCTTTGCTTTGTTGTACTGCCTTTGCACCTTTATCAAAGGTCAGTCAACTATATTTATGGGGGTCTATTTCTGGGCTCTGTATTCTGTTCCATTAATCTATCTGTCTATTCTTTTGCCAGTACCACACTGTCTTCATTACTACAGCTTTATAGCTTTGGTTCAAGTCTTGAACATGGGTAGCATTTGTCCTCCAACTTTGCTCTTCTCCTTCAATATTATAGGCTATTCTGGGTCTTTGCCTCTCCATATAAACTTTATAATCAGTTTGTTAATGTCCATAAAATATCTTTTTGCTATTCCAACACCTTGCTTTTTTTGTTTATCTTGAAGATCTTTCTATATCAACACATAATGTATGTGTATAGCTTCATTTATTTTAATCAGTTACTTATTAACATTGTTTCTTTTTTGAAACAATTTGTTTAATAATCTTTTGCTACAACAAATGTTTTCGAGCATACACAGTTTAACACAATTGCAGAGACAAAGGGTATGCTCATTTAAATTTAGGATGATTTTGGTCAAATTGCCCTCCAAGGAAGTTTTAGCAATCAGTATCCCTATCAGTACTGTATAGCTCAGCCTGTTTCCCTATTCTTTCCAATACAGTGTGTTATCAAGCTTTTTGATTTTTGCCAAACTGGAGAAAAAATGGCACCTTGTTATGGTAGTAATTTACATTTCTCTCAGTATGAATGCCACTGAGTATTCTTCCATATGTTTGAGCTACTTATATTTCCTTTTACATGAACTATTCACATCCTTCAACTACATTTTATTAGATTTTTGGTCTATTGATTTGTATGGGCTCTTTATATAAAGGAAATTAACCTTTTGTCACTTGTTTTACAAATGATGTTTTTCTTTTTTTTCTTTTTGCCATACAAAAAATTTTTAAATGTACTTGGTTTTATCAATCTTTTCTTTTACGACATCTGCATTTTGTATCATGTTGGTCATTTGAAAAATCTACCTACTTGAAGATTAACAAAAGAATTTCTCCCTTTTCCCCTAGAAATTTTAATATATATATATATTTTTTTTGTTGTTGTTGTTGTTTGTTTGTTTTGATTTGTTTTGTTTAAGTTGTTATTGGCCTGTGACTTATTTATGTGTGAGGTCAGGTCTCAACATTATTATTTTTCCAGGTGGAAAAAATACTAGTGAACCTAGTTAGATCAATATCATTTACTGACTGATCCATCTTTTCTTTGATGTTCAGAATCGCTGGTATGGGACTTAAAAAAGCAGATTGATTAAAAATTAGAATTTTAAAAGGCAAGTATCATAGAAGGAAGTGGATAAGAGAACTGAGGCTAATGGTCCTTGATTGAAGTTCTGGTTTCTTGAGGTTTAGACCAGATAGAAAAGCAGTGAAGCCAGAGGAAGCCCAGCTGTGAGCAAAAGGAACAGCTGAGAAAGTGGAGACCTGGCTAAGGTAAAAACGTTTATAGGACAGGAAGTAGGATTTGGGAATATGATACTTCACCAGTGGAGCAGGTCTAGGAGACAACAAAGTGTGGGGTATGAACATGGTAGTGGATTGCTGAAGTGGTGTTAGGATGAAGGTAAGGATTCTGGAAAATATGTGTTTCCAGCCTTCGAAGTCACCCGTGATTGTGATAGCTTGGGGCTGAAACTAATATAATGAATATTAACTGTAATTGGAAAATTAAAAAAAGATACAAAATATGAATAATAAAATGGCAATAACAAAAGTAAATAAATAAATGAGGGGACTGCTTAGGAAGTTAGTAGATTAAGGTACCATAAAGGGGTAAAAGGAAGATATGCGTCTTAAAGGTGATTTTATATAAGGATATTTCCATAATAATCTCAAAGTAGCAAGGGTTCTGCCTTTTTTTGTTTTTAAAGATTTTTATTGGGGAATTGGGGGAGGGGAACAGCATTGGGGAATTGGGGAAGGGGACCAGCCAAGTAGTTGTTCTTCAATCTTCGTTGAGGGCACCAGTCGCCATCTGGCTTCCCGTCGGCAGCTCATGGCCTCTAAGCACAAGGTGCTGTGTTCAATCTTAGTTACGGGTGGGCATAGCCACCATCCCATGCGGGAGTCGAACCATCAGCCTTGTTAAGAGCGCATGCTCTATCCACTGAGCCATCCAGGCGGCAGCTCAGCTCAAGGTGCCTAGTTCAGTCTTAGTTGCGGGTGGGCGTAGCCCACCATCAAACAGGCAATCTTCTTGTTATACAAGCTGAGCCATCCTGCCACCTGTTGGCAGCTCAGTGACAGCTCAGCTCAGGTGCAAAGTCACTGGCCCATGTGGGAATCGAACCGATGGCCCTGTTGCTCAGAGCTCGTGCTCTTAAGCCAACTCAACCAACTGAGCCACTCGGCCGGCCCAAGTTCTGCCTTTTCCATGCCTTGTGGTTATTTGGGGGTATGAGAGAAAGAGCCAGGCTTCATTTACGGCTTTATCTGTAAGATGAGGATAAGGTTTTATGCAGGGAACTTCAATAAATACTTACAGTGCAGAGGCTGTGTCAGGCACTTGCTGGGCACTGGGGATGAAGTCGTGAACTGAATAGATGAAGTCCTCACCATCATGTAGCTCCCAGTCTGGAGTCTTGCAACGCCACAGACCCCAGCAGCTGCATTACTTGCAAGTTGAGTAGAAATGCATAATGTCAGGCCCCAACTCAGATATACTGCATCGGAACCTGCAGTTTAACAAGATCCCTAGGTGATCTGAAGGCACCTTAAAGCTTGAGAAGCACTGGTCAAGACTTGACTGAGTCAAGTTTTAATCTAGACATGTTGGAAAGTAGAATGTGTTATAACCATCTACCAGCATCTCCTCCCTCTTGGCAGGCGCTTTCGTTCAAAGAGACCTCGCCCCTTCTGGTTATAATTGATAGGGGAGCATCTGACACCAGCTTGACTAATCAGCATTCCTTTCCTAGCTATTTGAAAATTGTGAGGAAAGAGTGACCCAATCTTTCTATTGGTTGGATCAGTTAATGAGTAAACTCAAGTTTAAGTTACAGAGGTCATATTCTGGAAACCAGAAAAAAACCCACCAGATGGCAAAGAGAACAATGAGGCAGAGATATATGGAGAAAAAAGCAGATATGGAGAGAAAATGTTGCTTAAATTCCTGATAGCTTTCCTGTCCCTCCTTGTTGTCCACTTTATAATACACTCCCATAGGGTTTAGCTCATATGATTTGGCTGTTATTCTTTGGAACCAGAGTTCTACTCACTACAGCACGTAAGAGTGAATTCAGAAGGCTGAATGCAAAGGGAAAAGGGTGTCTTGCTGTGCAAGTACGTGTGTTGATGGAGGTTGTCGAGGGATGTGATGACCAGGAGCAGGTGGTGGCCCACAGTATGATGGGCTAGCTCTGCGAGGAGAGAGAACCGGAAGAGGTCTCCCAGAGCTCACATGACATGCAATTATTGATCCTTCACGTTGTCTAATTTGATCCCTGCAACAATTCCACAAGGGAGCTGGTGTTAGCCCCATTTACAGAGAGGGAAAGCAAACTTCAGAGAGGTTGAGTAACTTGTTGGTGGCTGCCAGAAAGCGCAAGGCAGTCATGAATTTGACCCAGCTGTACGAGACTCCCAAAGGCCTCCATCTTAACGACTTAAGCACCTACACTCCATCAATGGGTGTTCGTTCAGTGCAGGTTACGTAACATACCGGTGGAACTTTTGAAACGTACATCCTTCTTCCGCTCCCATAGGTTCTGCATGGGGCCCAGGTAGACGGTTGCAAAACTCCACTGGTGATTCTGCTTTGCATGTGGGGATGGGAAGTACTACGTGGAGTCCTTCTAGGTCAGGGAGACCTAAGCCTGGCTGCACATCAGAACGGTTGCGGGCCGGCCGAGTGGCTCAGTTGGTTAAGAGCTCGCTCAAGAGTTGGAGCTCTGAGCAACAGGGCCCCCGGTTTGATTCACGGCCGGGCCGGAGCTGAGCTGCTGCTGAGCTGCCAACAGGTGGCAGGATGGCTCAGCTGAAAAAAAAAAAAAAAAAAGACCGGTTGGGGTGCTGGTGACAATACGCATTCCAGGGTCCCACCCTAGCTTTGCAAAAGCGGGATATTGGGACTGAGGCCTCGGCATCGGAATGTTCCAAGCTGTCCTGCCCTGCTTGGTACCTTAGACTTGCTCCTCCCAGCCGGCCTTTTGGCCGGTCGGCCAATTCAGGTGGTAATTCCAGCGCGCTCCACCAGGGGGAGCCAGGACGCCGCCAGCGGCTTCCGGCCGAGACGAGGAGGGCGGGGCGTGACCCGGAAGCCGACGGCGGGTTCTGCCTCTCGCGCCCGGGCAGGCTGGACGGGAACGGCCCAAGGAGCTCGTACCGCCCTGCGCTCCCTCGCCGACATCATGCTCCAGTTCCTGGTGAGTGGAGCTGCCGAGAAGCGGGCCGGGGGCTTGGCTCAGGGCCCTCGGAGGCTCCGGACCCCGCCGAGACGTCTTGGGTCCCCGCAGCCCCCCGTGCCTGCTCGTAGCCTTTCGGGGTGGGCTGCGGGGTTTTGTCTCTGCCTCGCGCAGACCCCGTCCCGGTGTTTTTCGGCAGCCCTTCCAGCCCCTAAAACGCGGCGGGGTCCGACGGAGCGTGCGTGCTCAGAGCCGCTTGCTGTGCGTCGTGCCCCGCGTACCTTGTGTAATCCTCGTGTGAAAGCTGTTGTGACCGGCCCCACTCCTGCCCCGACACGGACGCTGCCCCGTCCCCTGACTTAGCGCCCTGCTGGCTGGCGTGGTTTGGAGGACGCAAGAGGGCGGGGAGGGCCAGGAATAAACGCGACAAATTAGTAAGCCGCCTCGCGGGGCGCAGAAACGCCAAGCCAGACCTCTTCGAAGCGTCCAGACTTGGAGGATGGTTGGTTGGTTGGTTGCTTGCGTGAGTCAGACCCTGGCTTCCACGTCCTTTATCCAAAGTGCTCATTTTAGGGGCGAAATGAGTGTTGTTCCCATGAGTAAACAAATTCTCCTGGCTCTTTGTGTCAGTTTAAAAAAACCAAACCAAAACAAAAACAAACCGGTTTTCTGGCAAAGCTCAGCGTGTTTCAGGTTGCCCGGTGAGGGTTTCAGGAGGTCTTGCCAATGCAATTTCCAAGGGAAGGCCTTTCTTTCAAGTGTCTGTGCCTTCAAAACTGGATGCTTTCCACCTCTAACTCTGGAAAGAGGAAGGCATTGTAATGGCTTCCAGGTGGTCGGTGGAAATCCGGTGTTGGGATGAGACTTTCTCAAATGTTATATTATTTATTGAAGAGATTGGGGGGCGGGGTGGGGGGATGCCCCTTCTTCCCTCTTCCGGATGGTCATTGATTTTTTATTTTCTAGGCCCAAAGGGGGGGTATCCTTGACATAAACCATCCAATAAGACAGGGTTGCCCCTGTGCCTCTGGAAGTTTCTTTAGTGGCCTTGCTTCTGGAAGTTTCTCCAGAGTCCTAACTTGGGGTTTGTTTAGGAGTAACAAATAATTACTGTTACTTAGTTGTAGGCGACACTCGGTTGGAAAGCAGTATCAGTTTGCCCCAAAGTGTCAGATAATATAATGGAGCGACCAACGACCAACTCCTGTTGTAGCTCGTTGATAAAGTGAGAGGATGTGGATTCAATTATGCTTCACTTGGTAAGTGCTTTTGCAGAGCAAGTGTATTTGGTTCTGGAATTAACTTTTGCTGTGGATAAATGTGGATGTGACTGACTTGAGAGTTCAGGATCCTTAGCATTTAAGAAGAGCTGCTTGGAGCCATTCATTAAATTCCGGGCTCGGAAGCAACTGGAACGTGGATGTTCTCTTGCTCTCTGTTCTCTCACCTCCTCTCTGTGTCTGTTGAAAGAACAGGATGTATTACCTTTTGCTTTGATTATGACTCTCAAATGGTTTGCGAACTCTGTGAACTTGGACGAGTCTTGCTCTTCACTTTCAGCCATTTCTTTTATAAAACTGTGGGTTTGAAGTAGACGGTGCCTAAAATCTCCAGCCATCGTGTCCTGCTGTTTATGAGGCCAGACTCCTGGGTTTGCACCCTAGCGCCATCATTTTTAAGCTGTGGGAAAACTTGGGCAGGTTATTTAAATTCTCTGTGCTTCAGTGTCCACACTCTGAAAATGGGACCTACCTTGTCGTTTTGTTAGGATTAGAAATGCGTCAGTACATTCAAGTACTTAAAACGAGACACCTCATAAGGACCCAGATATTGTTCCATTTCTCTTTTGCAAGGTTATTAGTCATTCTGATTTAGTTTCTTCTCAGAAATGGGGAGTAGTTGACCCTCAGAAGCGTAGGCGAAGGGAAGAGTTTTGACAGCGATGGAACAATCACAGGTTAAGCACATGCACTGTCATCATGCATTTGGAACCCTCCCAGATGTTTCCGACAGCTGTCATTCCCTGGAACAGGATTTGAAAACCACAGCGCTGGATCGTGTAGCTTATAAATTGTTCATTCCTCCTTGGGTTAAAACATTGGCCCATCATCACAATCTCGAAAATGTGTCCCTGTGCCCTGCTGCTGCGTGTCCCCTTCCTTTCACGGCAGTGGCTTCCTAAGTGCAGCGTGTGGCTGAGCTACATTTGTTGTGAGGAAACTCCTGAAGCTTTCGAAGGGGGGCCTGCTCGGACCCGGCTGGGGCTTTGTGCACGCTGCCTGCAGCGCCGATACAGTTGGGGTACACCGTGGCCTGTGATTCTGTGCTGCCTTTCTTACCGCTTCAAGGGGCAGCGCTTGGTTCTCCTAGTCGCCTCCTCTGTAATCCCTCCTCCCTTGGGTTTTGGATCCCACCATCTCAGTACTTCCCGACATCCTTTCCCAGTACAACTCACGTGGATTCATTTGGGTGGAAGAACCCGCACAGAGTGAAGGTGAGCGACTCTGGTGCTGGCCCCTCCCCGGCCGAGGGGATCAGTGTCTTGGCGCACCAGCTGGGCAGGGGCCCTATCTGATCTCGTCTGTTGCTACTGGCTGCTTTTCCGTTCTGGGGTCTGCGTGTTCCAGGCCCAGTCCTTGACTGTCTGCTCTTCTCTCCAGTCCACCCTTGGGGGAGGTGTTCCTTGTCACCTCTCCCTCTTCGCTGACAGCTTCCAAAGCTACCTTGAGTCCTTTTGTCCAAGTTCCAGTTCCCTGTCATCAACTGCCGACTGAGCATCTCTTGTCATGCCCAGTATCTCAGACTGAACACGTCTGGACGCATTACCTCTTCCCCACCCTGCAGCCCGCGCCCCACAGCCAGCTTCTGTCTTTGCTCCACAGCCCGCCACTCTAAAATTTGAAATACTGACATAATCTTACATTGATTTCTCTCCCGCATGCTGCATGTCATTTAGCTCTGTCTGGCACATATATTTACGCACTATATAATCTTGGGCAAGTTACTTAACTGCTCTGTGCCTCAGTTTCCTCCACATCAACTGGACAATAACTGTACCTGCTTTATAAGCTTGGGAAGAGCATGAGTTAATTCACGAAAAAGAATTAGAAGGCTGCCTTGCGTACAGCAAGCACTCAGTGATGTGGCTGTGTGTTTAAGCCATCGAGCCTCCCACTGCTCACCTTGTGAGAGTTGTCTTTATGTTCCCACTGCCAAGTTTGCAGAGCAGGTCTTTTTGACTCCGCCCTTGGACGGGCTACACCAGCCTAGCTGATGCGGAAGTGTCAGCTTTGGGTTGGAAGAGCTACTTTAGGCTCTCTAATTCAACTAACATTTTGATGCTTCAGTCTGCACTATTAGGGCATCCCACTTACGTCGGGTCACCTCCAGGTACAGCAGGTTCACTGCTCTCAGGTAATTGCTTTCATTTTTGGTCAAAGTCTCTTTACCTCGTTCTACTCCTTGACGTTCAAGAGCAGTTCTCATCCACGTGACAACCCTTTACGTTTTTGAAGAGCGTTATCTTGGTACTTCTTTCGCTGTCCCCCACCCCACCAGCCTTTTCTTTAGGCTAAACATCTCTGTTTCTTCCACCCATTCTTCCTGACTTCAGGTTCCTGCTGGTTACCCCTCCCTGAATGTTCTAGTTTTTTAATTTGTTTTAAAACATGCCACTCCTGATATGGTCTGATGAGCCGTAGAAAAAAGCAAGGTTGTTGCCTTTCGTTCTATGTATGTCACCCCTGATACCTTTGGTTCTGGTTCTCTCTCGCAGCTGCCAGAGTGACCATCCGGCATTGGCCTTATTCACACACTCAGACACTCTCAGCTGGGTCCTTCCCCAGCAAATCGTAACCACTTCTACTTGATTTGCAAGGTTTACTAATCTAGCCCCATTTTCCTTTCCCACTGCCCTTCAATCGTACAGCCTCTGTTTTAGATCAGCTCAGGCTAATTTTTCTGATCCATACCAACCTATGGGCCTTCTTTTCTTGTCTTCATACCTTTCCACATGTTTTTGTTTTGTTTTTTGGTTTTTGGTTTTTTTTTAAGCCTTTATCCTCCTTTTTTGCCTTCCCAATTACTCTTAATGGACCAGCTCCCATCTTTTTTCAAGAGCCTTCTTGATGACTTTAAATTCCTGAAATTTTTACATTGTTATCATCTCATTTTTTGAGGTACATGTCTTTCATCATTTAAAAAAAATCTTCTACATAATAGTATTGCCACTTGTTTGTTGTATTTATTTCTAGGTACTTTTTAGTTTTGTTGTTGTCACCGGCTTCCTTTTCAAAATTACATTTTCAAGTTAGTTGTTGCCAATGTATAGAAATGCTAGTTATTTTGTTGCATTGATTTGATTTTGTATTTAGCAGTCTTGCCAATCATTTAGCTCCAGTAGTTTGTCTGTAGATTCACTTGGCAGTCAATCAGGGAAGACAATACTGAAGGTAATCATATCTCCAGTGAAGGAGATGAAGTTTGTGTTCTTTTTCAATTTTTATCCCCCACAGCCCCCCCCCCCCAAGCTAGAATTCACAGTAGAAGTAGTGAGAGTGGTTATCCTACTTTTGTTTCTCCTTTTAGTGGAAATGCCTCTCAGATTTTAGTACAATGTTTGTGTTTCTGATATTTTCTAACAGATTAAGGAAATTCTCTTCTATTTCTAGCTTAGGCGTTTTTTTTGTGATTTGACTCTTTTATCATGCTCTTTCCCTATCTGGTGATCATACGATTTTTCTCCTTTATGTTAATATGAATTACATTAGCCTTCTAACACAAAGCACTTAAACTATGTGGCCCATTCAGACCATCATTTTTGGTGATGTGCTGTTTTGTTTACCGCACTTTCATGTATTTTAGCCTTGTCTTTCTAAAATAGATCATAAATTCCATGGGAGGAAGCCACATGCCTTATACTTTGATTTCCCACGCACATGGTGCTTAGTCAATACTCTGTGATTGATTTCATTTATTTAATTAGATATTCCATTTTTGCCTCATTGCTACTCTCAGATATTCATAAGATATTTGAGTATTTGAATCAGCTTTGCAAACAGGCAAACCAGTTCTATCTGATATACCTCTTTCTGGAGTGTTACTGGCTAACTTTTTCATGAATGTCCCTATTTAATTTACTGGCTCAATAAAGAATTAAGAGCTCCCCCCCCCTCTTCATTCTCTAAGGAAAATTATAGAATATAAAACCTAGCTTACATCTTAAAAATCGCGCTTCCCTGTGGTGGTAGAAGAAAGGATTTATGGGATCTGACAATTAAGTTCGCAAACTCATCCTAGAAAAAGAGCTACATACCTCATTGCTGAATATCACTACAGTCACCTTCGAAGTACTCCCCTTGGGAAGATATGCACCAGCGCCAGCACCTAGTCCACCCTTCAAAGCAATTTTGGAACTCTTTTTCTGGAATGGCCATCAGAGCTGTTGTCTTATACCCTTGATGTCCTGAATGTCATCAAAATGTCTTCCTTTCAATATTAACTTTATCTTCAGGTAAAGGAAGTGGTCATTGGGGGCCAGATCAGGTGAGTTCGGAAGGTGTTCCAATATAGTTATTTGTTTGCTGGCTACAAACTCTCTCACAGTGCTGTGTAAGCTGGTGCATTGTTGTGATGCAAGAGCCATGAATTGTTGGCGAAAAGTTCGGGTCATTTTTGTCTAACATTTTCACGCAGTCTTTTCAGCACTCCCAAATAGTAAACTTGGTTAACTGTTTGTCCAGTTGGTACAAATTCCTAATGAATAATCCCTCTGATATCGAAAAAGATTAGCAACATCATTTTGACTCTTGATTTGGACTGAAGGAATTTTTTTGGTCGTGGAGAATTGGCTGACTTCCATTGTGCACTTTGACACTTTGTTTCAGGGTCGTATTGGTACACCCATGTTTTATCACCGGTGATAACATGGCCCAAAACATCGTCTTGCCTCTTCCAAAGGTCTTGGCAAACTTTGACTCTCCTTTGCTTTTGTTCATTGGTAAGCTCCTTCGGGACCATTTTTGCACACACGTTTCTCATGCCAAGATTTTCAGTTAAGGTTTTCCTAACTGTTTCTCTATCGATGTTTACTTGATCTGCTATGCTTCTCACAGTCAGCAGATGATTTTGATGCACAATTTGGTGAATTGTTGCAATGTTTTCGTCAGTTCTGCTCGTTACTGGCCACCCTGACCTCTCTTCATCAGTGACACATTCTCTCCCTCAGAAAAACGTTTAATCCATTTGTACACTGCCGTTTTCTTCATGGCATCGTCCCCATAAACTTGGACTAACATGTCCCTGATTTCACTTCCACTCTTGCCAAGTTGAACAAGAAATTTAATGTTTGTTCATTGCTCTAATTCAAGCTCAGACATTCTGTCAATGGCACACAAAAACACGCAACAACAATAATGACCGCCACTCAGCAAGACACTGTCACATGTCAACCTGAACACAGCTGTGACACTGATATACCAAGGTTATGAAACCTTACCGACCTGTTTGTGCAGTGCTGCCAATGTAAGGGCATGGTGGCAAGTTTGCCAACTGAATTGTCAGGGCTCATAGATCATATCCTAAGCAGATTTTTGTTTTAATGTACAGAATGTGGGTTTTATTATTACTTGAAGCAGTTGTTAAACATCTGATAATGTTCTGCATACCAAATCTGAATGGTTGAAGACTAGGACACAAAAAAGGGTGAATTTCTTTCCTGCCCCCTCTTCTGACAGCTTCTGTAGCTGAAACTAAAATTGAGAAATAAAATTATCAGCTTATTTTTTATTAATGTTAGATAATGTGTACTTTCATGTCAGTGTGTCGCTTTTCTCACCTGAGACCGTAAAACATTCTTAGCTATCCTTTTGAGTGCTAGTTGTGGCTACATTTGCTAAATTAGATGAGATTATTTTTAGATTTCTTAAGCCCTTGTCAGTAAATATAAGACGGTTCAGATTCTCTGTCATAACTTAGGTTGGGGTGTGTACTTTTTGAAAATGTAATTTGATGAGTCGTATTTCAGATCTGTCAGGTAGTATTCGCTCTGGGTTATCGCCATCAAAATGAATGTGAGAACAACCTTTCCCCATTGAATGTCTTAGCACCCTTGTGGAAAAATTCCTTGACCATCAATGTAAAGGCTCATTCCTGGACCTCCATTTTATTCCATTGCCTTCTTTGATTTTTGAGAAGAAAAACAATTTATTCACATTTGCTTGCCACCTTCTCTCCAGGGAACACTATGGGGGGACCGTGTGCTATGGAGGAGGACATGGGGATGGCACCCAGCCATCCAAATGGACTACTGATGAGGCTTCCAGGTCTTGGCCTGGAAGGGGTTAAGCATTCTTGTCCCGCAGAGAGTTTTCAGCCTCATTCAAGACCATCTATCTGGCTCCAGGCCAACTTCTCAGACCAATGAGTCCCCGTTCCTCAGATTTGGATGTTGCTTTCCTAGGTATTTAATTTCTTTCTGTCGTAAGTTGCCTATGGAGCGCCCCATGAACAACATATAAATGCTTTTTGGACTTCATGCATTTTTCCCAACAGTGTGCAACATTGATCTTCTTACGTTGTGTACTTAATTTTACGGTATCCCACTGGCAGTATTCTGAAACTGGAATTGGATATGACTTACCAAGAGAGCCATGGTTTTCGTTTTGTTTTGTGTTTTAAAATAACTGCCATATTTTTATGCGCCTTGACGTTTGATGAAGTTGCCAAGTATTTATGGGGGTTGTGAGGGGACAAGGGGACAAAGCTACCTAAATTGGGTAGATTTGTTCAGTGCTACCATTTATTCTTTTGGTATTCTCTTTAACCTTTTGTGGGGGATGTTTCTATTTATTTTGTAGAAGCGAGATGTGAATTGAGCACTGTGCACCGTCCAGCCCTAGCCTGGACCCTGGGGTCTTCTAACCATCTGAGCTTCTTAGGAGAATATTTTCTGTGTAGTCTGCTTTGGTGTCAGGCAGCACAGAGCTCAGTATAACTCTTCCTGTTCTATTCTTTCAGCTTGGATTTACTTTTGGCAACCTGGTTGGAATGTATCTGGCTCAGAATTATGACGTAAGTGATCATATCCACGTCCTCCCATGATTCCATGTAACTGATTTGTAGTGACTCGTCTTTGTTGAAGCAAGGTGTGCCTTCCAGCATAGAGGGGTCTATAGATCTGAGGGGAAAGGAGTGAAATTTGTAGAAAGATTTTCCACTGTTTGAAAAAAATAATTCAAGTCGCAGAAGCCTCTGTCCTTCTTATCACCACAAGAGGGCAAAATCCCACCACATTAGATGGTCTTATGGTGATCCTGAGCTGTGTTAGCCCAGAGTTGGATTAAGTTGGATTCTTACATTTCTGTGGCAAATCATGTGAGAAGTGAGAATTGAAAGACTAACTGGATAACCTTTTCAGCTCTCCTGCCCATTAGTAGAGGTGACCGGGAATTTTGGGGGCGGTCTGGCACATTCAAGGAGGACAGAGCTCTGTGAAGTGGGGAGTTGCATTAGCCTCACCTTAGAGATGAGGAAGTTGAAAACCCGGTGGCAAAACTACCCACCCATGGGATTCTGGAAAGGTGATGCTGGTTTCCAAGAGACAAGGAAGGGAAACATGATACTAACTTTCGCAGCGAAGCTTTTGCTGTGACAAAGGGACTTCCCTCCATCAGCCTTCACTTGAGTTGTCTGGTTTTCCAGGCACGGCTCTGTTCGCTTCTATCACATTCCCTGTTTCTGTGGACAAGCTCTGCTGGGCGCTGGGTTGAGGGGCTGGCTGAGTGGATGTGTCAGAGTCGAGGTTGGGGTCTGGCTCTCAGGGAGGGAGCATTTAACGTACAACTTCTGGGGTCCTTCTTCTGCAGTCACGAGGCTAAGAAACACCACTCTTTAGCAGGCCTCTCTCAGAGGAAAGTAAAAACTTGTACAACCACCATTTATCTTTGGAGGAAGAGACGTGAAAGCATATTGATTGGTTAGATGCAAAATGATGATAATCTCTTTTCTCTTTAAAGATACCAAACCTGGCTAAAAAACTTGAAGACATTAAAAAGGACTTGGATGCCAAGAAGAAACCCCCTAGTCCATGATGTCAACTCCAGCACTGCCTCCAGGACCCTCGTAGACTGAGTCTGCTCTTCTCGAGGTCCTTCTTTACCATCCGAACCAAAAGCTTTTGTCTTTCTTTCCAGTCTCAGCTAGACCCTGCGTTGCCTTAGACACAGATGGGGCCACAAGTTCAGAACCATCCTGAGTTTTCTGACACCCTCTCTGCTTCCCTTCCTCCTGCCAGCCACTTGGGAGGTCCTAAGACTGGAATTATGGTGCTAGATTAGTAAACGTGACCTTTCATTAGCAGTCTCTCCCTTATTCTTTGGGGTTTTTACTGCCTATTTTCAAAAGAAAAATCGATGAGTTTTGTATAGCTGATCAGATATAAATAGTGCTGATTTCCGTTTAGCAATTATAATGGGTGTTTAAACGTTTGGTACTAAATTATGTTGTTTCAAGGTAATTAAAATTAAAATCAAGAAGCCAGTTTCTGGTGAATTATCCATTCATTTTACACTGTTGTCAGTATAACTGACATATAACTCCATAGTTGCCAATTTAAACACTAAATCAATTTGCTACTCATTAACTGAGAAACTTTATTCTGAGATCCCCTGTCAGGAGCTGGGGAATTAAATATGTAAAATAATGGCCTTTGTCCTCAGTAGAATTCATAGTCTAGTATGCTTGTATTTCCCTAATGATGTATTTAATCTGGCCTTTCCCTTAAAAGACTCATCCTCATTTTAAGGGATTACAGGTGCATTTGACATTATATAATGGGTAAATGACAAATTGTCTATAAAGGAAATCTTATGCCTTTTTACATTAAAAAATGTACCTTATAACTTTATAGGGATTCTCCAAAGAAAACTTCTCGTTTTTTTCTTGCAATCAGAAATTATCACTTTAATTGGTCAAATGTATAATCAATAGTCGATTTTTAAAAATTAAACAAAAATGTTTGAATACATCACTTTTCCCATGGGCCAAGACACAAAAGTGGTTTAGAATAAAGGGCCTCTCCTACCCCTAGCTCTGAGTTCATCTTTCTGGAGGCAGGCACTGTCAGCAGTTTACCGGATACTTTTGAGAAAGATTCTGTGCCTAAACAAGCGTGTGCAAGGCGTTTTTTACACAAATGATAACAAATTAGACAAAGTTTGTTCCTGCCTTTTTTTTTTTTTTTAAATGGAGATCATTCCATGTCAGTATGTAAGGAGCAAGGAACCCTTTTCCTTTTTTGACTGCATAAGATTCTACTGAACGAATGAATACACCATGATTGATTGAATCTGTTACTGATGAACAAACGCAAGGTTGTTTCCTGTCTTTTGCTGTTACACTGATCTCCTTGAACCTAATGTTATTGTATGTATCTCTGCAGGGTATCGCTGTAAGCTCAAGTCTCCAAAGTGTAACTTGCACTCATTGCAGGGGAAGTCCCATTTCATTGCATGTTCTGTTTCAGAGAGCTTGTTGGGCAGCTTCGCTGAGAATGCCATTTCTGAAGACGTTTTCGCAGCGTCTGTAAACTGGAAGAATTATTTAGAGACACCTTTTTCCAGACAGTGATGACACTGATACTACATGTGATTATAAAATGAAGGGATTCTGCTTCTCTCTGAAAACACGGATGTGTCACCCAGGGGGAGAAGTTTTATCCCTGTCGGTTCATCCTGGTGTGGTGTGTGGGACAAGTTAGCGTCCTGTTACGGTTTGGCTTCTCCCTAGCAGCGTGATCACAGGCCAATGGCTTATTTTTGTGAAACTATTGTATTGTCTAAGATCTGGACGCAATACCTACCTCACAGGGCTCCCAGGAGAAATAACTGACATAATGTATGTGATGTGTTTCTCAGTGCTTTGCAAATTGGCCCAATAAATAGTAGATCTTAGTCCAAACATGCTGCTTTCGGTGAGAATACTTGTGTTTCTCTGCAGTCACTCTTGGAACCAGTTTATGGGCCTTGTAAAATGGGTCATTATTCTATGGTCACTCTCTTGGTTGTTGATGAAAATCTACAGTGTCTACATTGATCATGCCGCCTGGCTCACAAGATTTGATCTCAAATGACTGAATTGTTAGCAATTGAAGGATAAAGGCTGACCACCCTTGAGGGTGTTCAAAATGCTACAAGCTTAGGTGTCCCTTGTTATCCATCATGGTAGCATTATTTGTGTGTGGTCTCCCTGAGGGGCTCCTTTGGGGATGAAGGTCACTTAGCTGTTAGGAGATCAGGTCTCTCTGTATGATACCTTGTAAACAAAGTCCTGTGGACTGAGGGCTTCCCTCAGGAGCTACACTTAACCTCAGTGACAGAACTATTTCTACTGGAGGGAACCATCCAGCGCATCCGTTCTCGGTCACCTTCACCAGGTACACTGCTACCTGATGAGCACAGGCTGACTTCGTGGGCACCGGTCAGACACCTCTGCTTGTTTTAGGTTCTTGCCGCAGTGACAAGGGGCTTGGAGTTCTCAGGCAAGATCTTCTTCACTGAAATACAGGAGGAACCCAGAACCCGCAGTTTTAGGGTGTGGTTGTGGATGGCGGTTGCAGCGATTGTGATCGTGACACTGAAAGTTACATTCCCTGGGGGTTTTGTAGGGACACTTGCCTCACAAACCAGTGGAGGGATGGGAAGAATCACTGCACCATGTCCCTTCCTTTTAAAAAATGTTTGAAAACTTTCGTTGATGTGATTTAAGAAAACTTATTGCCATACTTGACCATAAATGAAAGGTTACTCAGAATACTACTGAAGGTGACCCACATGTGAAAAATAAGACTTCGGGATTGATGTTGGGAACCTAATAAATACATTGAACTAGAAAAGCTTATCCTTAAACTGTAACTAACCCTCCCAAACAAATGGACAGAAAAAAACCAAACGCACCTTATTTAAAATCACCAAAAGGGGCTGTATTTCATGGTGTTTTATGTATTTTAGTTACCAATTGATGTCGTTAGACTTTCCTTCTGCTTTGGTGTTTTATGCCATTAAGCAGTTACCTGCTTCTGATTTAAAGGAACAACTTTTATTTTTTCTGACTCACTCAGTTTTCATTTGTGTGACTGTAGAGAAAATGAAGCTGGGTGGTTTTCTGGTTGTCTCTGCGTATGGGTTCATAGAGCTTATGCACACATGCATAATGTTTTCATTTCCTCTAAGCAGTTCGTTCCCTGGACACTGAGCAGTGTTTGTTTTTCTGCTGAGGTCTCCACGTTTTAATGCTTTTTCTGTCATTCCTCCGGCAGGAACACTATATACTGTCCTGGAGCAAATGAGGCTTTTCTTAAACTTGCCACCTTGGACTTTGCACATGGCATTGCCGTTCCTCACACAAATGAATGAGTTCTTTTTCCCCCCCTGACCATTGGAGCCTTGTGGAAAGGAACAGGGTGGTGAAGGGAAAATTTTGAGACGTTGCCTGGTCTTAATAGGGGAGTTTGTGACACTTAGATTTTCAGATGTTCAGTTTATATCTTTTCTAAATCTGGGTGCAACATATTCATTTACGTACAGAAGACCTAATTGCAAGGCCCTGGGAAGCAGACGAACACAGTGAGGTTTTGTGGAATGGGGACCGGGTGGGGCACTGCAAGCCCCGAGTCCTGGGCCTGCCTGAACCATGGCCTCTGGTAAGAGCTCATGAAAGGTGCAGCGTGGCTGCGTCGTCTGACATGTACAGTCGCACAGGACTGGGACAAGGAAAAGGGGCTGTGGAAATAGTGCGGGCAGCTGGGCTCGGCGTCCATTCGCTGAGCACAGCCCCGTGAACTTGGGGGTGTCCGTCCCCTGTGGGTTCCAATGGCTTGAACAGCTTGCCATCCAGAGAGTGGTTCTCATGTTTAGATACTTTGTTAAACATGAAATCTAACTGTGAAACCAACCACCTTATTTGGGGTCCAGCTGAAGAAGCGGATCTAGGCTGACACTGGAGGGAAAACTAGCAATTTTTTTGTTTATTGAAAGCTAGCACACGAGTCTTTGTGCCATGTGAATGCTCATGTAAAGGACTGTATGCCTGAACTTTCATGGGAAACCTAAAGGAATTTCAAAGGCAACTGGGACTATGCAAATTCCATACATAACCTACTTGAGAATAAGATGCAACTATAGCATCTTTGTTTCTTAGTTTTGTCATCTGTCAAATGAGCTGGTATAAGATGGTCACAGATTTTCCATTCATGTAGTGTTGTCATAGAAGGTAAACATCAAATTATATTTGCAAGAGACACAAGACTACTAAGGAGAGCTGTTAGATATTGTCCAACACAGGGTGGTTTTAGAGGACAAGGAATTGTTTGTCATATCTGACATTTCCTGTCACTGGAAAGTGAGCAGTCTTGTTTGGCCTCAATCTCTGGTTTGGGGAGAGAACAGTGCTCTTTAGAACAGGCAGATCAGGCTGAATGAGCACTCTTTCTAGATCGGGCTACTCGAGTGCATTAGCCCTGGGAGCACCTGGCAGCGACTGCCATGGATAGCTGCACTGCTTTCCTCGTAGGAGCGAATCAGGTTCTCGAATAGCTGAACAGTGGCCAGTACTTCTAAGTCCACTTAATTCTAAGTCAACTTTTCTTTCTCTCTTTAATTATTTATACTCCTGGAATCTGATCGGTTATCTGCACCTTTGTCTTACTGTCTGATTTACGGGCTTAATGGCTCAGCTCTGTAATAGGTCAGCTGTTTGATGACTTGGCTACCCTGACAATAGGAGCAAACACCCTGACTCTTCTGAACTTTTGAAAGCAAAACAACAGAGATAGATGCTGGCTCGATCAAACCAGCTGTATAGTACCTAATACCGGTATTTTATTGGGGCTTATTAGGCTGTTACTTTTGTAAGTGGCCAAATAATTTGGCCTCAACTAATGGACAGAAGCCATGATATTCCTGGTTAAACCTGGTCAGTCAACATGCTGTGATTGGAGCGTGAAAGTGTCGACTGGCACAAAAGAAATTTTATAATTCACAGATACTTGATAAGCCAAGGGTGTGACTGCATTGATAAACTGTTATCGTGGAAAGCACATACTAACAATAGTAACTTAAAATCAATTAGAACTATGTAATAACTACAGGGCACTCCTTTTAGCATAAGCAGGGACATCTGTCATGGAGAAAATGGCATGGTTTTCAGGAGGAAGAAGGCGGCTTTGATTTCCAAAGCAATTTTTCTCAAGGAAAACATTTATTGAGCAGTTACAGTTGACTATATTGTATAAGTTGCTGGGGACTTGAAGAGACATAAGACACCTCCTCTCCCCTCAAGGAGCTCATCTACTTGTAGCGAGTGACTGATGCATTTGGACTTTCCTGTATGCGTCTTCTCGGGAGCAGACTACTTATTGCATCCAGAAGAAAGCCAGTCAAATATCATTCATAGTGCTGTGGTCTTATAGTTTTCGCCTCCTTCATGAGACAGGTAGGAAAATATTTTCTCTCTCTTAGCACTTAACCAACACGATGGAATTGATGGTTTGTGATGAGTGGAGAGAGAGATGGCTAATCACCACGTGTCTTCTTTCTCCACTTCCTTTTCCCTTGACAGAGAACAGCATCAGCTTTTTTCGAAAGGGGAACACTCTTTCTTTACAGGAGTGTGGTGCCAAGGCAGAGAGAAGCGACGGAAGAGAGATGCTTAAAAGGGAATCAGGGTAGTGATAAAAGATTACTGACTACCACAAAGAATTGCCTTTTTGTGGAGAGAACTTAGGATAGAAACACTTAAGAGAAAGGAGCTAATAATGTTATGATCTCAAGTTCTGGGTGAGATTTTTCCTCCAAAAGAGGAGATGTCACTGGTTTTGCTGTCACTTGGGATGAGATGATTTGGACTTCTCCTTTATCCCCTAAAAAGGGATTAAAAAAATAAGGATGACATCAAACCTAGCAAGGCTGGTAAGTCTGTGAGGCTTAGCCTCTTGAGGGGCAGCTAAGACAGGCTTGCTTCTCTTCCTGTCAGAAAGGACTGGAGAGGCTGGATACAAGGAGGTGAGAAGGGGGGAGGTTTTCTGGAGCTGTGGTGCTAAGGAGGGAGGGCAGAGAAGAAGACACTGGCGTCCGAGCTCGTGTGTGTGGTGGTTGGAGGCCGCCTGCACCTCCCTGGAGGTGGTAGATGGCAGAATCTTCCGGTGGGGGTTGTGGCTCCTGGTGGTTTCCTTGGCCTGTTGGTCAGGTTCTGCTGGGTGCTGGCAGCTCCTCTGGCTGGGCCGTTTGCCCACCTGTGTTAGGCCTGATCGGTGATGTTACTGACCTTAGCCCAGGCTGGGAAAGTGTCCAGGTGGAAGAGGCTCACTCCCCATGTATTGATGGCCACCATCACTATCACCAGGCCAATGATATTGACCCCTAGGCCAGCTTTCACCTGCAGGACACAAACCAGCACACCCCGGTCACTCCGCATGGGCCGCAGCCCAGATCCTGGGTGCTCCCCATTGATGCCTCCCCCCCCCCCCCCGCCCTGATGTGATCACAGCCCATCCGCTGGGCCCTGATTTGTTTCAGTCGCTGCCTGGGTGCTTTAGTGTTGCCTCGTAAGGTGGGACAGGATTATGGAAGGATGGGGAAAGGCGGGGAGGGCTTGGGCTGGGAGAGTGCCATTAAAACCCTCTGTCCTTAGAGCATTCTCAATGTCAAGGGGAGGCCTAGAAGGTGTGTACTCCGAACACCAGAGATTTGAACGTTAAAGAGTTACACAAAAAAGGGTCCTGCAGCTACATGGCAGGGAAATGCCTTAAACCAAATTACCCCATCTCTTTAAGGCAGAACTGCCCAGAGCCTTTAATGTGCTGACACTTATGGGGACTCGTAGGAGGGGCTGTATTCTATGAAGCCTTTGCCACTGTTACCATTTCTTCTTTATTTTTATTATTATTTTTTAGCTGAGCCATC